TCAGAACCACCATGAGGCCAGGATGGACTGAGAACCGCCACGAGGTCAGAACTGCCATGAGGTCAGAACCACCATGAGGCCAGGATGGACTGAGAACCGCCACGAGGTCAGAACTGCCATGAGGTCAGAACCGCCATGAGGCCAGGATGGACTGAGAACCGCAATGAGGTCAGAACCGCCATGAGGTCAGAACCGCCATGAGGTCAGAACCGCCACGAGGTCAGAACCGCCACGAGGTCAGGATGGACTGAGAACCGCAATGAGGTCAGAACCGCCATGAGGTCAGAACCGCCACGAGGCCAGGATGGACTGAGAACCGCCATGAGGTCAGAACGGACACGGTCCTGACCTCATGGACCGTGAGGTCAGGACCCGGGTCCTGAATTAGGGCCCGGGTAGAGAGAGAAACATAGAGGACAAGACAAGTCTCAGAAATGTTCTACAAAAAACAAAGAAATTTCTCACATTGAAAAGTCAAAAATGTCTATAAAAAACTGAGAAAAGGTTAGATTAATATTGGATATTTTCTTTAAAAAAAAAGGAAATTTCAAAAGTTTCAAAAATCAAAAAATTGCTGGAAAATTTTGATAAAATGTTAGATTAATCTCAGAATGTTTTTAGAAAAAACATGGAAATTTCTGAGTTTCAAGTCAAAAGAAACTAGAAAAAAATTGAATTTTGAAATTATTCTCAGAAATTTTCTACAAAGATTTTCTAGAAAAACAAGAAAATTTCTGAGTTTTAAAAGTAAAAGTTTGCTAGAAAAACTCAGTTTGAAAGATGAACATTTTTTACTTTTGATACTCAGAAATCCCTGCTTTTTAAAAAAAAATTTCTGAGATTAAATTCAAACTTTCTGAGTTTATTGGTGGAAATTTACTATTTTTTCTCTCTACTCTGGCCCTAATATATGATTGTGCCATTGCCTTTCAGTGCAATTCCTGCTTCACAGCACTGTCTGGGCTTTCTCCCATTCACTTGGATTACTCCAGCAGAGTTTCAACCAGGCCAATCAGCGAACAGAAGAAGTCGTAAACGATCATGTTGGTTTTCTGCGCCGTTTCAGAACACTAGTTTTAGAAATGGAAACAGAGCCGTTCAGTCCACACTTAAAAATACAGAGTTAGCATTAGCCGCTAATAGCAAAGAACAAGCGTCTGGTTTTTACAAGGTTAGCTAACTGGAAGAGATATTTTTTGTCACAAACTATTTATTACCTTTGAACAGAAGCCATTCAACAACTCTGTCAATCGCAGCTAAACGCAGCTGGGGGCAGAACTTCTTGTGTTTGGACCAATCCTCCTTCTGACAGTCTTTACAGCAGTAATAAACATTTAGACACCTGGAAAGGGAATGATGGACAAAAGGACACAAAGACGCAGCTCAGTGAATTAAAATACCATCAAATGTACGTATTAAATAGATTTATTACACATAGAGTGATGTAGTTCAGGGATTTATTTCTTCCTCATATTCCCCACAGTGATTTCTGAAGTATATGTTTAAAATAAAATTTTTGAAATTCTATTTAAATGATTCTGGCACTAAAATAAAGATAACACTCCATCAGAAGTTTAAGCATCACAATAGCTGCTAAAGTTTAGCAGGAAATGGGGAAGGAACATGAAATAATTTGGGGTAAAGCTACAAATAAAGCAGATCCACCTGTGGACATTAGCTGTCCAGAAATTGATGCAGGTGAAGTAAATTAAAGCAAAATTACAAAAGTTTTAGTATAAAAATTTTTTTTAATAAATTATAAAAAATAAAAAAAAACCTGGCTGGGTCCATCTGCAAAACTGGGAACTTCCTTTGTTTTTACTTACTAAACTATGAAGTGAAGCCATTTCAAGGGTTGGAGCTTCAAGATCCAACATACAGGATGAATCCTTTAGTATGAACCGAATCTATAAAATACATTTGATTTTTTAATTGAATTACCAATAATGTGACTTTAGCCTGACGTTCTCATTCACTGGGACGGATTTCCTCGTTTGTTCAGATATAATCTGGGTTATAATTTTACCTGGCGCAGCGCTTCAAACTCTGTGACTCTGAAAGCTGTTCAGGCCGTTTCTCACAGAACGCGCAGATTTTAAAAGATTCCTCCAGTTTCTCAAACATTTCCTTCTGCGAGTGGAAGGCCAGAGATTTACCTGAGGCCTGCTGGACGGTCCTGGAGAAAACAAAAACAAAAATAAGAGAATAAAGGAACAAAAAAACAAACAAACTGGTGAATAAACCAAGATATGGCTTTAAAGCCTCCCAGGCACAAATGGTGTGTGAATATTTAGGGCCTTAATTTTCTGTGACAGAAAAGGGGAGTACATTTCTGCCAAAAATCTCATAACATTTTTAGATTAATCTCAGAAATTTCCTAGAAAAAATAAGTAAATTTCTGAGCTTCAAAAGTAAAATATTCAACAGAAAAAAATTAGTCAATTTTGATATTATTCTTAGAAATTTTGTAGGAAAAATGTTGGACATTTTTGGGTTTCAAAAGTGGAAAATTTTCTAGAAAAAATTCTGAAAATGTAAGGTTAATCACAGTAATTCTCTAGAAAATGCGCTAATTTATGAGCTTTGAAAAATAAAAATTTTTCTATTAGAAAAAATCTGACATTTTTATATTATCAAAAATTTCCTAAACAAAAATAAGGAAATTTCTGAGCTTGAAAAGTCAAAATTTTCATAGAAAAAAATCTATTTTTTGACATCAATCTCAGAAATTTTGAGAAACAAATAGGAAAAAAAAAACTCATAAAATGTCTAAAACAAATTTTCGAGGGGGTGAAAACAAGGACATTTCTGAGTTAGAAAATTTTACATTTAAATTGGACATTTGAGTTTCAAAAGTAAAAAACGTACTAACACAGAACTGTTCAGATTAATCTCAGAGACTTTCTAGAAAAAGCTCATACGCTGTATCTATGATGTGAAGGCTGTTTAAATGCTGCAGGTTCAGAATGACGATCCGAATATCAACTAAATCAGAGACCCAAACTCTGCTGCAGGGTTTAGCGATCTACCAACAGGTCACATTTAAATGTTGCTCCATGCAATCAGTCATTTTAACGTTAAAGCAAACACTGAGCAGAGGAAGAAAAACGGCCGAAACGCTCCGCTTACCTCCGAGTCTCCGTCATTTTGAAGCTGCTAATGGTGTAAAACAGCCGCTTCTCCTGCTGGGCTGATATATGAGCTGCCTGCAGATGCAACACCTGCTGCCAGGCTTCTGGAAACGTCTGACAGCGCCAGACAGTTCCAGACTGCATGAGAACAAAAACCCTCCGTCTGACAGAGAAGATATGAACACGACCAGATCACCAATTTATCTTGCAGAAAACCTCCACTGTATTACCATTAAACAACAACCTTCATTTGTGTAATAATAAAAAAACATCGCAGAAGTCTTAAGTTTCAAACCAGATCTGTGAACTTTTCCTGCCTTTACTATCTCTCTCCACTAGAGGGCAGTATTGCTAGTTAAAGCCAAATATTTTTTATACCAAAGTGCTCTACGGTTTAAAACAGATCAAAACAAGAGAAAAACAATAACTAAATAAAATAAAACTAAACTAACAGCAACAACCAACTGAAACGATGTCAATATCAATTGAATCTCATGGAAAAACTCACTTTAAGCAAAAAAAAAAAATTAAGAAAACATTCAGTTGTACATGTCTTCCCCACAATAATAAAACAATGCTGAGAATAAAACAAAATCCACTGCGAGATTTCAAAGAATTCAACATTTTGAAAAAAAGCACTAAAAAAAGAAACTCAGTTCTGCTTTGTGTGTGTTTGGGTTGATGACATCACAAAAGGCACCAGAATGAGGCTGGTCAGCTGGTTTTAGCTAACATTAAACCACAGGAGCAACTTCTAATGCATTTCATAAAAGATGCTGAATTTGAGCTACAGTTGAGCTGTAAAAACATCCAAACAAATTAAAGTCACCGTATAATTATAACATCTGATTTAATTTAGACGAAATGATTTAATTAGGCAGACGAATGCAAAAAGTTAGGAGGAAATTGTGTTTTTTAAAGGATAAAATTTAAAATGAGTAAATTATATAAACACAAAATAAGTTCAGGTACGTTACCAATGTCAGTGCTTACAGTAAGTTATTTTATGTCAATCTCCTAAAAATGTCACTGCAGGCTCAGTAGAAAAAATGACTTTAACCTGTAATCAGGTAAAAGTGACTTTTACAGTGCACAGTCACCAGAGACATCATCTCAGGGAACAAAGAAACTTTATTTTCCACTTTCACATTTCAAGTTTTCCATTTCATTTCATTTAAAACTTAAAACACTGAAAATGTCATTTGGCTGGAAGAGTGTAGTTTCATCTGCAATTAAAAGTTCGTCAGCAATAAAGAATAAAACAGCTGCAGTTAAGAAAGGACCAAATAATGAAAGGTGCATTAGTGGAGATGACCAAACCTGTGAACTGATTGTAAATTGACCCTTTCAGGTGAAGGTATATTAATATATGATCCATTTTCACGCAGCTGTTGTAAGATTTGTAATTGTTGTAACCGCAGAGCGAATCACAGGAAGCCATCGAGCGATGACAGAAATAATTTAGGCCTCATGATGAAGGAGCAGCAATGAGCCGTTTACCCAGTAGCTGCAATACCGCAGGCTGCCAGCAGAGGGGGAACTGCTGCTCACATCAGCTGTACGGGATTTCTTTACTCTGACTCTTTAGTTAAAGCATGAGGAGAAAAATCAGGTTGAGTTTGACTCTTAGAGACAATATGTCTCCCACATTCAGAGTGTTAGGGTCATACTCAGAAAAAATAAATACATGAAACTATGATATTATTACCAGAATAGTCATAAATACATAATAAAGTCATAGTAATGTGAGAATGAAGTTAAAATAATAAGAGAATAAAGTCATCATATTACAAAAATAAAATCATAAAATTATGGAAATAAAGTTATAAGTTATAATAATGTGAGATTAAAGTGATAATATCATACGGATAAAATCATATGACAATAAAGTTAAAATAATAAGAGAATAAAGTCAGAAAATTACAAGAATAAAGTCAAAAATAATGTAAGAATAAAGTTATAGTATTATAAGAATAAAGTCATAATATACAAGGATAAAGTTGTACAATGACTCATACAAGAATAATGAGTATTATGAGAATGAAACCATGATAATATAGAACAAAGTCATAATTTTCTTCCTAACATTGGTTAGGACCTCATCAGACCTCAGACCTCATCGTAAGGTGACCCCTGGAGGTGGTCCTGAGGCAGGAGGCCCTGGAAGCAGACGCAGTGGGAGTTGCAGTAGACCGGCGGTTTGTTGGGACAGGCCTGGACCTGCTCCGGTTTCTGGGAGCTGAACGGATTGGGCCCGCTATCTCTGATGTGCATCTCCAGCTCCAGCAGGATCTGCAGGGAATACTGGAGCTCCATGTCACTGGAAAACAAAACATCTCCTGAAAACATGCGCTGGACTCAGCTGGGTCAGGATCAGCTGCTTAGAGAAGGAAATCAGACTCTCATGACGTAAGATTTATGGAAAAAGATCCAGAAACAGGATTTACCTGAACATGGTGAAGAAAGACGGGATGTTGTAGTCTCTGAGCAGCAGGAGGGAGGGCAGCCAGCCCTGGACCAAACCCTGGTTGGCATGGAAACCTGAGGTAAAACAAAAATGTAAAAAATAATTATAATGAAAAGAACAACAAAAACCCCCAGAAATATTAATTTAGAAGAACATCTCTTACGTATAAAATAACAAAATCAACTTCTTTCAATTCAAAAGTTATGAAACTGCAGGTCTGACTGGTGGATTTCTGGTTCAAACATCTTTAAGGGAAATGATGAGCACCACACAAAGGGTGATTGACAGCGCTAAGACCCGCCTCCTAGCTCTGATTGGTTGTTTGTAGCTGGCACTTGGAGAAGGCAGGAGAGTTAGATTTTTTTCCTCCAGATTATCTATCTCATACCAAACAGACACAACATGGAGACGGCTTCAACAAATATTTAAAAAATATATTTTTTAATAAATGTTTGTTACATTAGCTTTAACACAAAACAATTAAAGGGCAGCAGAACTTCCCCCAAAATATTCGGTGGATTTCCTAAATTAGGTTTTCTCAGAACTAGACCTGTCACAATAATCAATAAATCAATTAATTGCATGATAAATTAAAACAAACTCATAGTTTTCACTTGCATAATCAATCATTTTTTTTCTTTTCTACCAAAAACTGGGTGATAAAAGTCTTCAGTTTGGTGATTTGGTCTCAACCAGCTCTTACTTTGAAGGACAGTTTTGTTTACAGAGACACCATGATTCATTTTATTTGTTGTTTCCGTTTTGTTTATTAATTTTGGATATTTAAAAAGTCCTCCAGTTCCAGTGTTAAATGTTCATCAGCATTTAAAGTTTATTGATCTGTAAGAATTTGCTCTTGCTTGAAGATGATCTCAAAACAACAATATTATCGTTTATCATGATAACATCTGTTATCGAGTCAGGTCCATTCAGAACAAGCTGATGTTATTTACCAACTTCACAAAGACATGAAAAACGTCCCAAAGACGGTTCGCTGTGGCAGAGATTCACGATGGGTTGGGTTTATAATCCTCTGGGATAATAACAGATGTCAAGTCCTCCAGAATCTGGTTTGCACCAGCTGCATGTTTTTCAAGCCGCAGGATGCAGAGCGATAAAAACTTTGCCCTTCAACCAGATTACCGAACTCTACGGCCGCAAATCCGTCAGCTTAAACGTCCTTCTTAGAGACAAACAACAAATGAACAACAGGCAGGCGAGATTCCACAACAGAAAGAAATAAAGTCTCGTGTTACCATGTTGTCAAGGAGAGAGGAGCAGGTATGGAGGGAGGCGAGGAGCTGGTACCGAAACACAGATGGTTTCACGGGCCGGGGGATTTGGACGTGAATAATGCACACCGAGGTATTACGATGCCAGAGGCTACACTTCTAGTCATTCTTAAAAATTAAACAGCGATTAAGTGTTTAGAGGTTTAGATATCAGGGAGATAAGGTGACAGAGAGGCTGTTAGTGACTGGGAGCCCTGCCTGGCGCCTCTGAGAGCTTCAGCCATATGGTCGATGGCAATGCTGGTAATAATAACTGATTTTTCTTTTGTTTTGTGGAGAATAAAGAGCATTTTATGCGTCACTGAGGTTCTGTGGAGCCAGAATTACACAACATTCACTGTCCAGTTTTCCTCCAATAGATCCGTTTTTCTTCAGTCATTTTCTAGTAATGGAGCCAACATGAAAAATAAAGACATTTTATGAGAATAAAGTCAATATAATATGAGAATAAAGTCATAATATCTCAAGAATAAAGTAATACAACTATGAGAATAAAATTGTAAAATTACAAAAATGAAATCAGAATATTGTGAGAATAAAGTCAAAATACAAAAATAATGTCATATTTAAAGAAGAAAGTCAGAAACTTACAACAATAAAGTCGGAATCTTATGAGATTAAAGTCAAAATAATATGAGAATAAAGTCATAATATTTTGAAACTGAAGTAATAAAATTATGAAAACAAAGTCATAATATAATAATAATGTTGAGAATAAAGTTACAAAATTACAAGAGTAAATCATAAAATTACAAAAACAAAGTCATATGAGAATAAAATCGAAATCTGCAAGAATAAAGTCAAAATATTTCAATAAAAAAAGCTGTAATTTTATTACTTTATTCTCCTATTATCTAGACTTTATTCTTGTAGGAGATTATTTTTGTAATATTATGAGGATGAGTTTGACAGTCCATCAAACTGACCAACAACATGACCTTTGAACCTGCTGTGGATAACCTGATGACTGAACTTATTTAGCGTTTTTCCAGTCATTTTGACACAAAGTGCTTTACACCAGAGTCACATTCACCCATTCACACTCACAAAGGCTCACACATGTATACACAGATCGGTGGGCAGTTCGGGGTTAAGTGCCCAGAGGCACATCGACACGCGACAGGAGGAAGCTGGAATCGAACCTCTGACGACTGCAAGATGACTACACTACCCACACAGTCGGCCCCAAAAGCCTCCCATAGCTGAAGGGCCATTTATTTTATATGTTGAGTCTGGTGACTGCCAGCCAAACTCTCCCCCAGCTGCTGCCATAAATCATCTGAATCCCCTCCAGGAGCCTAATGAATAGGTCACGTCCAGTTAGCTAAACGTTTTTCAATGCTTCTGTCTACTTCCAGTAAAGAATGATGCAAGAAGGACCAAAGGGAAATCAAGATGGCTGACAGTTTCTAACCAGACCTCTAGTCTTTTGAACATCTTTACAGACTGATTTAAAAACCATTGGGTATAATGTCTTCCTCAGACTCTGTGGTGTTCTTGGAAAGGTTCTCAACACACAGTTATGGACAGGAAGTCCTGGTATGGGAACCTCACATTTGCAACTTTTTGGCCAGCAGGAGTCTGGGGGATCATCTACGGTGTAACCAGCACTGCTCCGGTTTCTTGTTATGGAGATGACCTGGATCAAAA